TATATGATTATATATATTTATATATATATATATATATATATATATATATTATATAATATATGTATGTGTGTGTGTGTGTGCATGTGTGTATGCACGTGTGTGTGTGTGTGTGTATGTATGTGTGTCTGTGTGTGTGTGTGTTTGTCTCTCCTACTAGCTATCCAAGTCATTATATACCTTCTTCCTTCAATCTATCTCTCTATTCATCTCTCTCCCTCTCCCCTCTTTCTCGTTTCCCCTCTTTCATTCATACACCTCCTGGGACGTAAGCATCGGTTTCCAATTAGTCTTTCACGAGGAATTAAAAACAAATTTCGTATCTAACCCCCTGAAAATATTCCCTTTCGGGTGTGTGTTATGTTCGTTATGACGTAAGTCCTTTCGGAATCAGATAAGATTAAGTTTATGAAATTAGAATATACTGTAACGGTATAGATATTGATATCAGTGTTATTGTTATTCTTACTATCATTATTACTACTGTTTTTACTATGGTTATTATTATCATTATTATTGTAATTATTGTTATCATTGTTGTTGGTAGTGCTAGTAGTTGTATTACTATCATTATCATTATCATTGTTATTAGCATCATTATCATTACTACTGCTGCTGCTACTACTGCTACTATCAATTTTGTTATTACCAATATTATCATAGTAATTATTTGTTCTTTATTCTCATTATTATTATCATCTTAATCATTATCATTATAATTATTATCATTATCATGTTTATCGTTATTAACATAATCATTATCATCATCATTATTATTGTTATTACTATCATTGTTGTGCTTGTTGTCACTATTACTATTATTAATGCTAATAATGATCTATTATTACTGTTACATTTTTATGATTACAGTGATAACAATGATATTATCAGTAATGATAATAATAACAATAATGATAATATTACTATTATTATTATTGTTGTTGTTGTTGTTGTTGTTGTTGTTGTTGATGATGTTGTTGGTGATGCTGCTGCTGCTGCCGCTGTTTTTTTGCTGTTTTTTTACTATTACCATTAACATTATTATCATTCATGTCATTATCGTCATTATCATAATTATCATAAATGTCAGTATCATTATCAACATCAGCATCGTAATTACTATCAACATTATTATCATCCTTATTTTCATAATCTTTATTGCCGTGTATGATATACTTACATGCCCATAATATACGTTATTTACCGATTTTCACATTTCAGTTATAATCATAATAAAGAATAAGAGAAAAACTGACAGAGTAAGTGACAAAGAAAGGAAGAAAGAAGGATTAATAGATATATTACTCTAATTGGTATCTATTTCCATTCATAGAATTTCCTATTGTTTTATTTAGCTCTTTTTTGTCTTTTTTATCTACTGCAAATACTTTTTCTACATAGTATAAACTAATATGGAACATGAAACAAAAGTATTAAAAGCATATATGAAGGGTTAATTGGCGCAGCTGAAACTTGATTGATGTAAAATATCGAAGTATATATTTAATATTCTCTTTCTCTCTCTCTCTCTCTCTCATACACACACACATACTCTCTCTTAACACACACACACCTCTCACATATTCTCTCTCTCTCTCTCTCTCTCTCTTCTCTCTCTCTCTTCTCTCTCTCTCTCTCTCTTCTCTCTCTCTTCTCTTCTCTCTCTCTCCTCTCTCTCTCTCTCTCTCTCTCTCCTCTCTCTCTCATTCTCTCTTCCCTCTCCCTCTCCCTCTCCCTCTCTCCCTCTTTCCCTCTTTCCATCTCTCTTTCTGTATCTATCTATCTATAGATCGATTTATATATCTATGTATCTATCTATCTCTATATCTCCTCCCTCCCTCCCTTTCTTTCCCTCTTCTCCTTCCCTCCTCTCCTTCCCTCCTCCTCCCTCCCTCTCCTCCTCCCCCCTCCCTCCTCCCTCCTCCCTTCCCTCCCTCCCTCCCTCCCTCCCCCCTCCCCTCCCCTCTCCTCATCCCACCCTCCCCTCCCTCCTCCCTCAAAAAAAAACTTCCCCCTTCCCTCTCCTTCCCTCCCCTCCCTCCCCCTCCCCCCCTCCTCCCCCCCCTCCCAATCAAAAAAAAAACCTCCCCCCTCCCCCCCCCCCTCCTCCCTCCCCCTCCCCTCCCTCCCCTCCCCTCCCCTCCCCTCCCCCTCCCTCCCCACCTCCCAATCAAAAAAAAAAACCTTCCCCCCTTCCTTATCCTTATCCTTACCTTTGACCTGAAAAGCGGTGGCAAAGCTCCCGTCCTCACAGTACTCGATGGGACCCCAATCGCCCCAACTCAAGCCATTGTCGAGTCTGAGCGAGTCCGTAACCTGCGTCGGGGTAGCCTTGGGCCCGGGGGTACACCTGTGGGGGGGGGGGTGGGGGGGGACGAGAGTACGTATGAGAGAGAAGTGGCATTTGCAAGGTCTGTTTTTTTTCATTGTTGTTGGGTTTTGTTATTGTTGTTGGTATTGGTGTTATGATCATTGTTATCATCGTTTTTATCATTGTTATTAT